AAAAGAAAAAGAAAGGAACATCTCTTGGGGTCCCAGGTGGCGCCTCCTAATACAGTACCTGGAACCCAAATGACAGGAGTGAACTTGAATCTTTTCCAACACAGACAGAAGAGCCATTGTCATCTCACTTCAGGGCATGGCTGATGTCATTTTCTCAGGTGCACCGCTGCAGGGGAGGCGCCTTGTGTTGAAGATTCCCTGGGTCCCAGGACCAGAGGTATCAACCTTGAAAATGCTGTGAATCCCGGGGCGGGAGCTGGGGAGGGAGGGGAGGTCTTGTCGAGCTACAGGTTGATGGCGCGTCTGCCAGTGGGCTTAGCGCCTGCTCTCCCTGCAAGTCCCCCGGTGACGCCAGGCTCTCTGCAAACCGACAGTCTCCGCCGAGGCAGAGGAAGCACGAACACAGCCCAAATTTGGAACCCGCTACCAGGAGGAGGTGGCAGGAATTTAGAGGCAAGCAAGGCCAGGGAAGGCGGTTGAGACTGAAAGAGAAACTCAGATGAAATTCAGAAGGAAGCCGGCGAAGGACGAGGAATCTGAAAACCTAAGGGCTGGAAGAGCTTTGGCCCGAGAGACCCTGGGGGTGGGCCAAGCCCTTCGCCCAACCCCGAGGGGGGTGGGGTCTCGCTGGTAGCAGGGCCAGGGAAAGGACAGCCCAGAAGCGCTCAACAGGTGGCGCAGTAGCCCAGACAGTGAACAAGCAGATCCTGGAGCCTGAGTTCAAATCTTGACACTGCTGGTTCTGTCCTGTGTGAGCTTGGGCAAGTTACCAAGGCTCTCTGAGCTTCAGTTTCTCTCATGTGCGAGGTGGACGTAATACACATGACAATTTAGTTACCTTCTTGGAGTTTTCAGATCTGCAGGGAAGCTTCCTTTTTCTTGTTGCGTATGTTGGTCGTCGGTAATTCTCTTTTTTGCTTTATCAGTTTTGAGTTAAACAGCAGCACTTTTTTGTTTTGTTTTTTTTTAAGACAGAGTCTCACTCTGCTTCCTGGGCTAGAGTGCTGTGGCGTCAGCTTAGCTCACAGCAACCTCAAACTCCTGGGCTCAGGCAATCCTCCTGCCTCAGCCTCCCGAGTAGCTGGGACTACAGGCATGCGCCACCATGCCCGGCTAATTTTTTCTATATATATTAGTTGGCCAATTAGTTGGCCAATTTCTTTCTATTTATGGTAGAGACAGTGTCTCGCTCTTGCTCAGGCTGGTTTTGAACTCCTGACGTGGAGCAATCCGCCCACCTCGGCCTCCCAGAGTGCTAGGATAACAGGAGTGAGCCACTGCGCATAGTACTAGTTTCCATTGTGGGTTTGGTTTTTATTATTTCTTTCAATACTTGCTTCCTTTATTCTTTCTTATTTATTTCTTCTTTCTTTCTTTGAATTTGGTGTCAACGATCCTCTCCTAACTTGAAGAGGAGGCTGTAAGATGGGAAGAATCTGGGTTATTGATAACATTGGTGCAATTTCCAGAATTAGCCAACACCTGCTCTATCTTACCCTCACTCTTTTTTTGTGAGATTATAAATTCTTTATCTTTATGCAAATTGGGTGGGGATTTTCCATTATTTA